CTGTAAGACCACCCTCTTTGTTGCTGCAATTGAGTCAGGTCCAGCATCAGGAACCTGGCAACTGCTGCTCAGGAAGCCAGCTCCACACTGCCCATTACCTCTGCTCGGCTGAAGCCCCCACCCAGAGCTTCCAGTAAGATCACTGAGCCACACTAAAAATAGCCAGCTCACAAAACCAGCTCTTGGCTATGGCCGCTCCACCCTCCAAGTACAGAGACAAACTCTACTGCCTTCTGCAAACAAAAGGAGAATTCACTCCTTTATCTATTTATATGCTGCTTATTCACAGCTTGCAAGCACAAATTCTTTTCAGATGAGGAGCTTGGGGGGGATGAGACTATGCTTTTTCTGGTTCCATGCTGCACAGCCCAGCACCCAGCCTACTCATTACTTCAGCATCTGAGGTTTTTCTCTTTCTTCTAGCTCTCACACCTAGTGTTGTGGCTGTCTTGACCACTAAGACAGGTATTGATTGATAACAAGCTCAACATGACCCAGCAGTGTGCACCTGCAGCCCAGAAACCAACCGTGTCCTGGGGCAACAACACAAGAGGGACGTGAAGCTGTTGGAGAGAGTTCAGAGGAGGCCACAGAGATGCTGCGAGGGCTGGAGCAGCTCTGCTTGGAGACAGGCTAAGAGAGCTGGGCTTGTTCAGCCTAAGAAGAGAAGGCTCCAGGAGACCTTAGACCAGCTCCCAGTGTCTAAAGGAGCTACAGGAAACCTGGAGAGGGGCTCTGGACAAGGGCCTGTAGTGACAGGACAAGGGGGAATGGCTTTAACCTGACAGAGGGGACACTGAGGTGAGATCTTGGGAAGAAGTTCTTCCCTGTGAGGGTGGTGAGACACGGGCACAGGGTGCCCAGAGAAGCTGTGGCTGCCCCATCCCTGGCAGTGTTCAAGGCCAGCTTGGACCGTGCTTGGAGCAACCTGCTCTAGTGGTCCATGGCAGGGGGGCTGGAACTGGATAAGCTTTAAGGTCCCTTCCAACAAAAACCACTCTGTGATTCCATGATTCTATGGACATGCAGAGCATTATGCAATCCCACTCCCATGCCACACTGAGAAGGCAGGTTTGCTGGTGGAGCAAGGCACACACCAGGTGTATTCTGGTTCAACTAGTATTAAGCAGCCTTATATTAATAGAAGATGTTTAGATCTTCTTTGCTCCTCTTCTGACTCATTGAATATCCACAGGACAAAAGGCATCACTGGACACTTCATCTACGCAAGTGTTCCCAGCTCTTGGCTATGCTGGAAGAGCAGCAATAATGAGAACAACAGTGGAAAATGTCTGGCTAAAAGCCAGGTTAAAAGTCTCCCTGCCTCGCTGCCTAGCCCTACTTTAGCAAGAGCTCCCACTCCTGCTGCCTAACTTCTGGCAGCTCCTCTAACACATCTATCATAAGCCTGGAGAAGCCTTCAAATCCCACAACAAAATAAACAATGCATTAATCCACCTTCCAGCACTGACATAGTGAATTGCCTGCAAGCCACAGGGTGGCTGATCAATACCCTAGATATCCTGTCACCAAGGATACACCTGCTAGCCAATTCTATGTAACTAATTAAAAAGACTGTGTTTATTAAAAAATTCCTGTCCAAAAGTGCAAAAGTAAGTATTAATAGCATCAAAGTTATGGATGTCTCTGTGGCATCTGTCCACACTTACCTAGAGGAACTTCAGCTAGGCTAATAGCTCTGCATTTCAATCCCCAGGAAGACTGTGAGAGCAAAACCTGGAAGCTTTCAGCTAACAGACCTGGAGAAGCACCAAGCCTCCAGTGCAGCAGTTGGTGTGAAGGCAGATGTGGTGGCTCTGAAGCCAGGCAGCTCTACCACAGTAGATCAGTGGCATTGACACCTTCAGCAGTCCCCCAGCACCTCTGGGTGGCCAGGCTGTGTTGAAATTATCATTACAGCACTGAACAAGGTGCCACAAAGATACTGGCTCACCCGTACCACAACCAGGCCAACTGTAGGTCAAATTCAGCCATGTCTTCCTGGAGGTGGGAGAGCAGTGTGGGACCAGCCGAGCACACCACATCTCAGTCAGCTCCCTGAGGTGGGCTGTCTGCAGGATGTGTATTCTGTAATGTAGCTCCTCCTTTCTAAGCCAGGAAAAGGCAGAGATCCAGAAAGACTACTTGGAGAAGTCTTTCTTTCCCTTTGTGGATAAGCAGCTAGATGGGCAGGGCTACCTTTTACAGTGGTACGTGGTGGAGAAAGGAGTATGGAGACTCCTGGTCAGCTCAGACTGGGAACAGAGTGAGTAGTTACCGGTCAGAGACACTGCTGTGGCGCTACAGCATCTCTCAGGATAAGACCATCCAGGAATGACTCCTAGAGGCTCTTAAAGCATCCGTCAGAAACATGTGGATGTATCACAGTGCATCTCTCCTGCATGAGCCCATCTCTGACGCGATGAGTTCAATTTCTGCAGGAAAGGAGCTGTGTCACTGGCTTAGCTCACCCTTGCAAAGCCCAGGTCAGATCTGAGCAGCGCTGAGATCCCACTGATCTATGTCATGCAACACTCCAAAGGGCATCTCAGCTCTCCAGGAGGGCAGAGCTGGGAAATGTGCCAAAACCAACCCCAGGGGAAGAGTTCCATGACTAAAGAAAGGCTAAAGCAAGTCTTGTTTGCTGTGTGCTCCTAAAAGATATTTGGCAGATACCATCTACCTGCGCAGAGCACAAGCCTGCTTCCTGGCCTACTTTGGCATATGCTCCCTAACCTGCAGTCAGGCCTTTTCAGACAGGTTCGCCCACCTCTGTTCTTACTACCTCCTGCTATTCTTTTTGCCACATGAAGCCACAAACTAGCAAGAAGTCAGCTGTCAGAGATGGCAAAACATATCCCCTAAAAAAAAATCCCAAGGTAAGGACGTAGCGGGGCTTGTCTTTTTTATGCTTCTTAGGAAAGATCACAGCTAATACCTTTAGTTCTGCACTTTTGATTGGCATATTTTAATTAGGTGAAGCTAAGAGTCCAGAAAACTGCTCTCTTCCTCTCTTTGTATAAAATTTTTGCACATTTGGACAGATACCTGTTCACACCTGGGCTCAGCTTCTGACTAAGAAGTCTTGGCAGTCATGACTCTGCTTGATCAGGCTTTTGCACCACAAGAGAAAAGAAGAAACTAAGCCAACACGATGCGTGATTAACACAAGAGCCCAAAAGGTGGCTCAGAAGGGTAAAGCCATTTGACTTGCTTTTGTAAATAATTTGATTTCAAGCATTAGGGGACTAGATATGGAATCCAACACAGTACAACAGGCCCTGCTGAGAGCACAGACACAACCAGTTCTGCTCCATTTTCACACGTCACCAGTCAGAAATCTAATACTGGGTACACATACATCAAGAGCCACTCCATGCTAGCTTAGTAAGCCAACTACAGTATTTTGTCCCGACCCTGCTTTGATCCTTCCTGTTAAAGAAGTCTTTGAAAATCATAATCATTGGAGCCTTTACAGTGTGAACAGAGCTCAGAACCTTTAACATCTGCACACCAGTTTGGAAAGAAGGAGCAAGTGCAGAGCAATGGAGAAACTAAACCCAAAAGCACCTTATACAGAGTTCTCTGGCCAAGTGGTAGGGGGTTTTTCCCATTTGAAAGGATCCTGGAACAAAGAAGAGTGGATTTTAGTCCTCTGACCCAAGTTACATGACAAGCTGGCACATCCTCAGTTAAAATACTGGACGGATTTTAGTTCCTGCAACTACTCTACAAGTTAGAAGAGGTCTCTCTCTCACTATCTTCATTTACGCTCCTCAGAGTAGAGGACCCATAGCATATGCTTTCCATTCACACTGGCAGGCAACAAATGTAACCCAAATTAAACAGAGAACATGTTATACAGCCTTAGCATAGACTCACACACTCTGCAATCAGAGAATTATGTGTATCCCCCACCCTTGCCCTTGCTAAGCTAATCAAAGCAGTAAATTATCCTTGGGGCTCTGTCAGCTCAGGTTTCAAAGTTGATCATTTCACTGCACAAGAACACAGGCTTAACTTAAAATCAAACTGCCAGAGCTGCTGACAAGACTCACAGCGAGCAGGGAGAAGAAACAGTTACAGGGCCTGTCCCCAGTCTGCCAGTGGGGGGTAGCAACTCGCACTGTCATCCACTTGCTGACTTTTCAAAGAGAAATGTTGTTCTTTGTTCATGTGAGATACTCTCTAAGCTATTTTGTTATCTCCTTTCCACTCCCTCCCTTAAAACCTCCCAGCTTGCAATGGCAACAAAGAGATGAACCAGAACAAGGCTGCCCTGCCACCCACTAAGCCCTCGTCTGCATCCACATGCCAGCGTCTCTCTCACATCCATGCTGGAAGCTCCTGGGTGCAAGGGCTGTCTGTCTTCCTGCCTTGCTCTTTGCACAGCACATAGCACAGAAGCCATCACACGCTGATAGGCTGCAGGTGCTTTAACAGTACCAACAGGAGTTGTGCAATGCCCTGGGCATTTCAAACAGCTGGTCTCTCTCAGACCCTGCTTCTCATACCAATTCTGCAAGTGGGCAGTGAATATTTGGTTGTGCAAACTGTATCAGTGTGTGATGAGAACTGAGCTTGCTTCAGCCAGAAAGCATTCCTCGCAGTTCAGGTCCTTGGAAATCCCCTTGCACAAGGAGGACCGCAGTAAATGACAGCCTGGACGTAAACATTTATCACTGGTATCATCAATTAAGACCTGTGTTTTAGAGATGCACAAAATATCCAGCCCTTGCTCCACTACAGACAGTAAGTCTGATTTGGTTTGGAAAAAAGCTTTAACCATTTAAGTGAACCCGCCCAGACAAGTTTCTAGACTGGGGAAGAAGTCAGGAAAAGAGTAAAAGTCATTACACTTTCCACCTTTGCTGTTTTCAACACAAGTCCTCACTACACAAAGCTGTTCTCTCACATGTACCAAGGATGGATCACCTCACAGAGACTCTTAAGCCTGCTGTTTGCTCACCTCCACCTCTTCTCCCACTCTTGGGGCTCACCTGTAGTCGTGGGTGAGGGTGACACAAGATTCCTCCTTCCTCAACCTCGCAAGGAGCGCTCCCCCCTCCAGCTGCAGCCTGACGAGTCGTGCGTCTTCAAGAATGTTCTTCATCAACTGCCTGTAATTCCTCAGAAGCACAGCTGCCTCCTGCAGGGATGACAAGAGCAAGATGAGCAGTTACTGCAACCTACAGGCAATGACGGAACAGGTGAAAACCAGCATCCAACCCAAAACACACAAACCACATCTCACCTTGGCCCACCCAAGGGAAGAGGGAGGTTGGTTCCCACAGCTGTTTCTGTCAAGGCTGCCAAGCCCAAAATGATAAACAGCATTCCTTATACTCTCAATACTTTCCCCACCAGGCTAAAACGGAAACCGGATTCCTATCATTGCTCATGTTCCATTTGCAGGGCACGGAAAGAACAAGCTTTCCAGCCTCATTTTCCACTCACAGCTGGCTCCTACTGGTCTCAGAGCCTGGCTCTGCATGGGTCCAGGCTGTGGGACAAGGTGCACCTGAAAGGTTTGTGGATATACACATGGATACTCAAAGGCCCAGGGAGGCCACTGTAACATCCTCTATTGCTTTAACTACTGGGACACTCAGTGCAGAGCCAGCAGCAATTTCCTTCCACATCAGGACTACAGCAGCTTCCCAAGAGTGGGGAAATACAATGTTTGCAACAACACAGGCTTCATCTCTGTACCCTCCTTTCCTTGCCCGCTTCCAAACTTCTGCTCTGGACGCCCCAAATGTGGAAGCACAGCACAACCTTGGCCTGGTGAACACTGTCTATGTTGTCACCTAACTTTATCCCAGGCCATTCAAGCCAACCTTCTATGGCACAGCCCAAGGCAGCTGCTCAGCATTAGAGACATCAATGCTAGCACCAGCCTTAGAGCTGTGGAGCTGCTAAAAACGTGCTCCGGTATTGGAGCAAGCACCATCAGCAACAAGTACAGCTGAAGGAATCTTCTGGGTGATGCTGATGGATCAGAGAACCAGCTTCTACACCCAGCAAAGCCTCTGTCACTTCATTTGGATTAGGTTCTACTAGTCCTGCTGTCCTGACAGCTCCACAGTGACACACAGCACTTGGAACACCACCTTGCAAATTCAAAGTTACAACTTCTCTGCAGCCACCCATCCTCCTGCTGTCTACCTCTCTGATGCAAAGTGAGGGACACGTTTACCTCAGCTCTTTCTGGCAATTTCCCAGTTTCCACTTTATGAATAGCTCCCTGGAGGAACGCACAAGCACTTTGGCATCCTTGTAGCAAGTGTTCCAGCTTCTACAACAAGAAAGGACCAAGGCAGAGATTATTGTCTCATAGCTGACAGGAAAGCTGTCTTCTCAGCTTGCAGAAATCAAGAGAGGACCAAACACATTAACCCAAGGCTTCAACTATACATCTCTGTATCAGCAGAGAGGCCTGTCAGAGGCTTCAGATGCACCACGCTACACGTGCAAGAGTGCCCAGCAAGGCCTCTATGCAGACATTAGAAACCTACATACTCATGGCTGGTATGGGTCATACTTTTGAGAAAAGAAAAGCAGTTCACTTACAACCCACACTCTTCCTGTAACTTCCCACTAAGATGAATCACTATGTATGAATTTTGGAGGAACAAAACATACAATGAATTATTGGAATTTCTCTACTTTAAATAATTTGTCTTTATATCAAAAGTAATGCAAATGAAAGATTAGGAAACCGGAAAGCTTCCACAATTAAGCACTTTAAACTACCGAAAAATCTGAAATCCCTCCTCATTTTGGGGGTGGGGGACGACGACAAAAAAACACTCCAAACATTTCACAGGGGTTCACAAGGCAGTACTTTTCTAAGAAGGCAGTACTTTTCTAAGAAGGCAGTGATATAAAGCCTAAATCTTGTCAGGTGCCACCCTCCGGCCACTGCAAACAGCTATTCCAAAACAACAGTGCTCAAAACAAACCAAAAGAGCAGCTGTTTCACTCTTCCTGAGCTGAACTCCCTCCTCCCCTGAGTGCTGGAACAGCCCCAGCAGTGACAGATTAGCAGGCAGGATGCAGGTGAGATCACCCAGACAGGAAATAAACACTGTTTGCCACATAAATGCAGATCTAAAAGGGGTTGAGCATGTGGGTCATTATCACATCAGCACATCCTATAAATAGGCAACCCATACAGACTGATTCCTACACTAACTCCCTTTGGTAACATTTTGCATGTTAAAATGTAAGACACAAACACAAAGTAGTCTGATATCATGCTCCTTGCTTCTGCACAAAGCACCTCTCAAGTTTTTCCCGCAACTCTACCCAGAAAACTAATCCATAACCTTTTGCAAAGCTTCTCTCTTTCCTCACTGCCAAATAAACTTCAAATTCAATCCTAGGCACCAAGATTAGGCTTCTGTACCTCTAGTGCATTAGCTCAGGTTCTTATTAATACTTTCAGATGCAAGTTTAACAAAGGGGTTCTAAAATAAATTGAGAAGGTAAGTTAACACTTGGCACACATGAAACCTAACTCCTGCAGCTTGCCAGCAGTGACAAAGTGGTGTTCTCGGTGATCTCTCAACCTGCTTCAGATGCTGCAGCGCGCTACGCGGCCCTTGGAGCAGTGAGACCAGAGCCAAAAGACCACCAAGCCTTTTGGAAGTAGAGGTATGGCTCTGTCACCCACCAGGATGAGCAAATCAAACTATACGTGAAGACAGCCAATTTGTGTGCATATTTACAAGAGACTTAATCCTGCCTATTCTCAGCATTGCAAATACCTCTCAATACAGCTTTTGAAAGATTGTCCTGGGTTCAGCTACAGCAGTCATTTTTTCTCCTTCTTAGTAGCTGGTGCAGTGCTGTGGTTTTGACTTTCAGTCTGGGAACAATGCTGATAACACCGATGTTTTCAGTTGTTGCTAAGTAATGTTTACTCTGACCAAGGACTTTCTCAGTCTCATGCTTTGCCAGAGAGGAGGGGAAGCCAGGAGGAAGCAGAGACAGGACACCTGACCCAAACTGGCCAAAGGGGTATTCCATACCACAGCACGTCATGCCCAGTATATAAACTGGGGGGAGTTACCCGGAAGGCCCAGATCGCTGCTCGGGTCGGGCTGGGTATCGGTCGGCGGGTGGTGAGTGGTTGTGTCCTTTTCCCTTGTTATTCCTCTTATCATTATTATTGGTAGCAGTAGTGGTTTGTATTATACCTTAGTTACTGGAGAGCTGTTATCTCAACCCATGGGAGTTACGTTCTTTTGATTCTCCTCCCCATCCCTCCAGGAGTGGGGGGAGGAAGGAAGAGGGTGGGGAGTGAGCGAGCGGCTGCGTGGTTCCAAGTTGCCGGCTGGGCTTAAACCACGACAAAGATTCAGCAAGCACATGATCCACGGGACTTATGCTCCCTCCATATGACCATACAGCATGACCGTACAGAGATTGGTGCCATAAATGCTACTTTTGCAGACTCCTGCCAGTCTGCACATACCGTGGTGCATGGCCAGTAACGCCTCCAGTCCTGCCACAGCTCATCAGTGTGCACTGGACTGGTGGCTGCAGCACCCTTTGCTGAGGTGCCATCTTTAGAAACTGAGTCTGGGTACTGCAGTTTCAGCCCCTGCCTCTGAGGCTTAACCTGGGCCAGCTCAAACATTTCCAGAGAGTGGTCAGCCTCCCTGCACCCTGGGCTGGCTCTAATCCACACTAGGGCACGGTTCATTGTAGGTATCTTGATCCACAGCTCTCCCGGAGAAGAGCACAAAGGCCAAATAGGATCATGGTACTGAGGGATACTCAAAGCAGCCAAACAACAGGGAGAAGGAACATACTGCTGGTACTGCCCCCTACTCTATTACCTTGCTTCTAAGACTCACTGCATGAGGAATAGAATCCGCATGGGGAAGCTTTTGTTTCCTCACCTCACACAGCTAGCTCTCAAAGAGGAACCCAATGCTCCCCATGGATGAGCCTTCTCCGTATTTTTAGTTTAGATGCTTTCTAAAGAGGTCTTGATGACAACTTTGGTAAATAAGTCAGTTACATCTAAAGGACGAAGAAGATGCTCCTAGAAGTATCAGAACTGATTATGAGGAGCTTCCAAGTTTCACTCCTGCAAGGACTGCAGCTTTCATTCAGGAGCTCTTAGATTGGTCTGGGAACCTGTTCCAAACCAAACAAGAGTTTGGAGCAGGTTCTTGACTTTTAGCTCAATGGCAACATGATACTACCACCTTCTCCTGAGATCAGTTTAAAAAGTGTCTGTCCTTAAGCTTCCACGCATGACTGAAGAGAACTGCCACTTTATATCACACAAAACTGGATCCTGTTTCAGATTTGACTCTATTCTGAAGGGAAGGAAGAATTAATGCAGTTCAAGCAGATGAGTTAAAAACTAAAACTTTAGCTCCTACAGTCATACCAGTAGGCCACAGTGTACTGTGGATGTCTTCATCCATTTTATGAAGGCAGTATTAGTATTCTTTTGACAGAGGTTTGCATACTTAGCTGTTACAGAAACCATTGTTATTTAATGTGTGTATGTTCAGCTGTTGACAGGATCCTCTTACTTCGACTCCCTTGCCATGCCATTTCTTCTCTCAGATATGAAGGAATACAAGACCATCCCACTCACCATGCGGAAGCTTAACCAGTCCCGGTGGCAATAAGGGAAGGTCCCATCCAGCTCTAGAGGCAGCTGTGAGCTGTCTATGTGCTTATGGAGGGATTTCATGGAGGTGAGAAGTTCAAACTGCACAGGAATAGTAGAAAAAATAGCACATTTCTATTAGTATGTGAGTACTGGAGAAGGAGAAGAAGGTTAACAATCCTTTATCCAGCATCCTTTATCTGTCTGCACAGGAACAAGGCACACAGGATGTATCTGCAACATCACTACAATATGACAGAAAAAAACTAAGAAGTCAATTCAATCCTAGAGTAGCTTGCTGTACAGCTTAGTAGGTGAACCTCGAGGGAACGCAAGCCACAACATGTTGTTTCACGAAGCAGAACGGCTGGGATGGAAGTCTGGCAGCAGCCAGCCTTCTCCAGAGCCAGTACCTCCTAGTAGAAGCAGAGCAACTCCCTCATATGTTCCCGTTGTGCTGCAATTTGCATTTGTTTGGAGAGCTGAGAGGTTAAATCCAGCCCCCAGCTCCCCCATCTCACTTCCTGGAAAAACACTGTAACAGCACAGCCTCTGCCCTACCTTCGACTCTCCACTCAACCTCAGCAGCTATTTGCTCCAAGCGTTTCCTGTATCTTGACACAGATAACTAACCTTCTGCAAGACTGTAGTACCTCAGAGCAGCATTATACTCACCAGAGAGACAGACAAGTGCTCTTGAAGGTACACGGAAGCCAGCCCAAACACAGAAACTCAGGTGCAAACACTTAACCCCCACACACACATTGTGAAGTTTTCCACCTCCTTACAAAATAGTGATGATGCTTCCAATTCCTCCTGCATGGCTGTGTCTTTATTAGCCTTTGCTCTGTTCCATCCTACGCTCTTTGGAGTCCGTCGACGTGTTTAATGTCTTCTGTAGCTCTCCCTGCATGCACACGCCTGCAGCCCCCTTTCTGACTTCAGATGCTTCCACATGGGGGCAATGAGGAAATGGACTAATAGCATTCGGTATTCTTTAGCCTTTTGGGGCAGCACACCACACACAGAGCAAACCTGATGCTACTCACAATGTCTTCATCCACGGGAGACAAAAGGGAGGCCCTAGCCTGCTCTGAAGACTACAGAGTTTCAGCAAGCACAGAATTTCAATCAACTTCTGTGGCTTATAACAGTCTTACAGCAGAGAGAGATGTTAAGACACAGTCTAATGCTCATTTCACTCACCACAGAATGGCAGAGTGCCTACACTTCTTATACAGCTATGGAATACCAAGGCAGATTTACTTCCAGTGGGGTTTTTCTGTGATGCTGAGATGATTTTCCCTCCTGCATTAGCACCTCCTGTTAGTCTCCCCAGAAATTTCAGCTGCAAAGGAAGCCTCATAGTCATACTCATCTCTTTGCCCTCTTGCAGCAGACTCTTAGCCACTGCAGCAGCAGCTGTAAGGAGAGGAAACATGAGATACGCAAAATCCCGGAAAACAACAAGTTCCTTCAAAGGATGGAGTTTAGGATTTAGCCTAACAGGATCTCTTCCTTACCACAGATTTCCTCCCTTGTTAACAAGAGAATGCGAAAAGCATCTCTATCCTTATTAATTGTGCAGGGCTCCTCCGTACAGCTTTCCATGTTCCCAACAAATCCCCTGTGTTCCCAGGGCCCCAGCAGACTGCCATAATTATCACACAAATGTCTCTGAAGGACTCGGCAGTAAACATGGCACGGCAGATCTGTTCAGTTCACATAAACTTTACAACCCTATAAATACCACACCCCTAAGAGACCATGGCCATAAAATAGAGAGAACAACTGCAGAGATTTCATGTAAGAATAAACATACGTCAGAGGTCAGAGAAACTGCTGTTTGGAGAGTTACATAAAGGGTGGCAAAAGCTCCCCAGCAACCCCTGGACAAATAGTTCCATTACCTGTCCTGCTGGTGGCTTCTCCATCCGAAAAGTCAGGTCTCTCTCAACCAGAAGCAGTACTCCATGAATACAATTAGGATCTATATCCTACAACAGAACAGAGCACAAAGCCATTATCGATCTGCCTGGGATACCTAGGAGGATGTACCACACCAGGTTTGTATAGGAGATTGCAACTTATCCTTCAGAGGTATTTATGAAGCCTGGAAGGCAGTCACCAGGTATAGGAATGGCCATTCTGCAAAGCACCAAGGCCATATCCTTCAAGTAGTTTCCTTCACATCAACTAGTCCTGCAGCATTTAAGGAAGCAAAGAAAGAGGCCAGGGACAAGAAAAGAACCATATTCAATGTCCAATTTTTTTCTTGATAATTTTCCTGGTTACTTCTTCTAACCAAAAGGAAGTTGTTGGGTTTTTTTATCCCACAGTGTCAAAAATACCATCTTGTCTTGACTTACTGCCAACTCACAATCAAGGATTTGCATCCTGCTGCTACTGTTAAACCGACAGAAAGTCCAAATACAAGGGATGTCTGGCAGCTGTAGTTCAAACTCCATGATCCAGGAGCAGCTCTCCAATTACAGAAGCACTCTACAGGGAAGTGAGAAACAGGCACAGAGAGTGACAGCAGGAAGAGGGAAACATAGCAGGAAGACCAGACCATGGAGGCAAGGCCCACTACCTACATGATAACCAGGATAGCAAGGACAACAGCCATTTAAGTTGTCATGCCACACGGTTAAGTAAGAGTCATCCCTTCAAGATGTGCCCTAGATTGTCTTTGATTTTGCAAAGATCTCAGGAACTGTCAAGCAACAAATCCATTCTAGTATTGCTTGGCCGTGACAGCAAGGGATACCTGTTAAATAAATGGCTCTGGCAGTGTTTAGGGTTAAAGATCTGACATGAGCAGTAGAGCCAGAGTACAGAGGCAAGTGGACCAGCAGAGACTGAGCCATCTAACCTGTCACTGAGCCCAGAACACAGATTAAGACACAGTGCCAAAACAAGGAGATCCAGTACTGCAAGTGAAAGCAGCAGCAGAGATTCCAGAGCAGAGGAAAAAGACCTTTCTCTCATGTAGTCCTAAAGCAGGATCTTCTTGAATGGCCAGGAAAAAAAATCCCAACCAAAAAACTTCCAAAACTGTGAGATGTTTCCAACTCTTCTCAAATCCTTTTCTACAAAACAAATTATTCCTACTTTCACTGTTCCTTCAACACTGGTTAAAAGGCCAAAAAGAATTTATTGCATAACTAAGCTGCATTAGGTAAATACTGAAGCTCATCTGAAAGAGAATGGGGAGGTATTACAACTATACCAGCAGCTCTGAATGTGCCTGCTAGAAGGTGCTGAAGAATGGAAAGTAGCCACACTTTCAAGACAGTCCATGGTACTAAATAAATTTCTCCTTTCACAATCCCTCTCCACTCCAACAGTCATGAGATGTGCAATCTGACTAAGGGATAGAGGTAGTGATGGTGTAACATGAGGTTACAACAGCCAAAACACTTACTTGCTTGTTTGTTACTTCTGAAAATGGAAACTGGAAAACCATTTCCAAAGAAATCTCTCAGGGGAGAAGTTCAAGGTTTTCCAGTCCAAGAGGAGATAATATTTCCGAAGAAAGCAAGCATTTTTCTCCATGTTTTTTTCTTTAAACAGCGGAAAAGAAGTCACTCTCATCCAGCACTGATGGAGTAATCCAAAATGACTAAAGCAGATTACAGGAGTGCCTCAGGAGACAGGCAGAGCTGGAAGCAGCAGGATGCTACTTGAGGAAGCCTTCTTGCAGCTTTCTGCACAACTCTTACCAACTTTGCTAACAAAAACAGCTATCTGGAAGTAAAGAGACAGAGTCCTACACATGTGAGTGAACAAGACCCTAAAGAGGCACAGTGTGGACAGCATAGAAAGGAAGGGTATCAACAGGAGCTCAGAAAGCATCACAGCAAATACCCATCCTTTTAGTAATACTCTTTAAAAAGAGAATTAAATACTTTTTTCTATCCTTCTCAGACTTAAATTTCAAACATTCTTCTGGCTTCCTGACCCAAATGGAAGTCCACGACCAGAGTCATAACACTGGCACAGTTTGAAGCACAGGCTGCCAGGAACACTTGTGTAGATGGGAAGTCCCTAAAAACCAATGCTCAGTCTCAAAGCGACCACTTCTGATGGAGTGGTGCGAGGTCCCTAGTCTCCAACATCAGACCAAGGTCCTCTGTACTTCTGCAGTAACAGGGCATGCAAATAGTCCTCTTGAACAGAAAGGTTTGCATAGAGCTTTTCTGCTTCCAACTGCTAGTTGTCTTCATAAACACTCTTCCCTTCCCAAACCAACAAACAGAGGCAGCAGATCATAGGATCAGGCATTCACCTGATTTGCAGACTTCAAAAGAATCTCACTCCAGTAAGACTCAGGCAGAGGAAAATCCCACAGATACCTGTTCACTGAAGGCCAGTGCACACATTCCACTGTCGATGCTCTGCCTGCTCACATACCAAGGCATCAGCCCAGCATTACTGAGTAGCAAAGCACCTATTAACAGGCCCCCCACCACAGAGCTTAGTAGTGACAACCTGTGAACAAACACCACAGCAGCCTTTACCTCTGCAGAAATCCTTGCTTCAAAGCATCATTAGGCAGCTTCCCGCAGGAACAAACCTGATCTGTTCTTGCAGCACATACATGCTGTGCATTTCCCTTCACCTCCACGCAGAGCTGTCAGAGTTCCTCCTTCTTCTTCCTGAGTTAGCTCTGCTGCAGCACCATATTCTGCCCCAGCTCCTGCTGCTGTCTGGACAGAAGAGTTTCCCACCCACCCATATTCTAAAAAGGAAGGGTGAAGAAAGCTTGCAGAACACAACTGCCCCCACCCTGAAGACCGAGAGGATGAGAAGCTCTCACCAGTTTACTAGGTGGCTCTAGGCAGAGCAACTGACAGTATCCCAGTGCTGTAGGACAGAAGTTGTATATTAGCACTTAATTCCATTCATGCATTTATTCAGGAAAGATAGAGAAGTAGAAGTATTTCCTCAGACTGACAGATCTCAACCCAGAAGCCTGTGGAATCAGTCTTCCCTCACCAGGGCAGTTCTGTAGGGTTAACGTATTAGAGCACTGCAGAAGGAAGGGACTCTGCACTAGGACATCTGATCTGTGGTCACCCAGTGTGGAGCCAAGAAGAAAACCACACTTCGAAGTTGAACAAGCAAGACTGGGTCTCAACATTTAACAGATTGCACCCACATTAGCACAGTAGGCTTCATAAAAGCCATATAAATAAAATCCTCTTAAAGCAGAGAGAAGAACAGCAGAGTAATGAGCTCCAGAGACAGTCTGCCAGAGATCTGAGACACTGGGAGATATGTCAGGGATTTCAGAAAGGACCCCAAGGAGATGATCTGTTCTGTGAACCTTAAAGGGGGAACATTCAGTCTGTGCTTCTGCAAACCTCACTGTGCTCCAGAAAGTTTAGCTTGTCTTACTGCAGTCAAAGCCAGTTTTCTGTACTTCTCTATATCCTTGTTTCAGAGCAGATGAGAGTGGGATCACCGAGGTTAAGTGCTAAAGGATCTCAGAGGAGCCGAGGGATTATTCCTGTGCCATAACCAGATGATGAGCTAGCTGAACAGGTCCCATTTACAGAGTCTGCAGAAGAGTCAGAGTAAGGATCAGAAAACTAAAAGCAAAGCCATCAGCCTCTGTCAGTCCCTGTTACCTGGAGCACACGCTCAGCTCCAGCAGTCTGTCTTGTAGCACATAAATCCCGGTTAACTAACTGTTGCACCACCCTGATAATAAGGTGCTCAGATCCAAATAGCCATCATAGCAGGATATTACAGAGACACTGCAAAAAGCTTCCCCCTACCTTCTTTCAGAGGGTAGGAAACTTAAGGTTAGAATGGCTTTATTTCTGCCATGCTTGTATGAGACTGTGGACAGCCTTAACATTTTGCTGATTACCATATCATCCCACTACCATGACCACGAATGTTACATGGGCAAGAAAATCCTCAAAAGCTTTAGCAAGCCCATTGCCATGTGGGCACAGTGTACAATAGAACATACTTGCTTGTTCCCTCTGCAGAACTGAGCAGGGCATGCAATTATTCCTTCATCACAGAGAAGCAGCACATTGATAGAGCTCACAGCTCCACCCAGCCCAGGAAGCAGGAGGACAGACCTCTGACTCAGCGCCAACTCTCAGATGTGGCACTGAAGCATACAAACCACAGAGACACTAGCTTCATTAAAACATTGCCCCATTCCAGTTTGCAGAGTTGGAGTCCTAAGAGACCTAACCTCTGATTTAGAAGGAACACCTGCTTAAACACGATTAGTCATAGCTGCATCCCAGCATCTCCTTGGCTTCCTGGCAGCAACAGATAGAAGCTACCTGGGAGTGGGGGAAGCACAGCCCACTTGCTTTCCAAGTGACTGATCTGAAAGCCTTTGACCTGGAGCAATTCAGAGTTACAGCATGTCTGATTCCAATCATTCACTGACAGCCACATCAACAGCTGCATGTGCTCTGCCACCTGGCAAGACGAGCAGTGTCCTTCCCTTCCCTCTGCAGCAGGCAGAGGCCTCTCCTCCTCCCTGTGTATTCCACACAGCCCTGCAGTGCAGGGGACAACATCTCCGAGGATTATACTTCATGACAGTGTTTAGAGTTGGGTATGGGGTGTTCTCAGCACAGAGATAGAAGCAAATTTGGACGGGCAGAGAGGGGTGTTCTCCCCCAGCTCATACTTGCTTAGGTTTTTTGCTGTGTCTGCAGTCTGGCACGTCCAGGTCATCCTCCTAAGACAGGGCTGGGTGAATAACCCTCTTCCAAACCCAACTGAAAGCCAGGTAGCAGATGGAGACATAAGCAGCAAATGGAGATGTAATGTTCAAGCAAGACAGCAAGCCAACTAGTGTTCCTTTGCCCAGGCTCAAGGCTCACCTGCAGTGTGCTGAATGCCTTGAAGAGAGCGGGAACCGGTGAACAGCGACGAGCATCCACAAGAACAGTTAGACCCAAAGCCTGACATTCTGGTCTGCAAGGACAGAGAGGAAGAGGTCACTTTTGTCAACAATGATAATCAACAAGACTATGGAAACAGAACCTGTAATCATGATAGGGTGAAGAAAACCCAGTACATTACAGCTCTGTAAGGACAGGGAACTAACTGGCCACCTTCTCCTAACCAAAATATATATACATATGGAAACCACCTTCTCCTAACCAAAATATATATACATATGGAAACCACTTCCTGGATTGCTCTGTTTTTACCTTTGCTATTTCCACATGAACTTCCCAATTCCTAGGATACATCTCACTGATGGCAAAGGTGCTGATGCCCACTCTGGGTAATCCACACAGGAAAACCAGTCCTTACTAACTGCATTCAGGGACAAGCTTGGCCTTAACCACACTGCTTCACAAGAACACCCCTTCTGGATCAGCCCCAAAGATCTTGCCCAGTATCAAATTTGAAGGGAGAAGCATAAGAAACAAAGCATGAGTAGCAGAAGCTTTCTTATGGGTTAAGCCTGTTCCCTTTATCAACAGTTTGTTTGTTAACAGAACAATCAAAAAATCACTAAGAGAGTTAGCTTTACCTCTTAATAGTTTAATCATCTAAAAGTGAAACAAAGTCTCAGGAGAGCCTGAGATGAGCTGGAGGGAATCTCTGTCACAGTGAAAGGAAGAGTAGCTGCAGAAAACTCCAGCTTGCAGACTCCAAACTGAATTGTCTGCCACACATCAAGGCAGGTTTTCTCAACCCTTGCAGATACTCCCTCCCTCTCAGCTTGAAGGGCTGGCCCTAAAATATCATGTCACAACACTGTCACAGAGCTGCTGCATGACTGCCCCATCATAGCTCCAAAACCCCATTTCCTGAGCTAATGAAGGATAGCAAGAATGGCTTGGATTCATGGCAACGCATGAAAACATCAGTACATACCTAATTCTATCACAGCATGTGGACAAGGCCGACACAAAATTGCCAGAATGCTTGCTGAACACAAGCCAGTTCACCCTAGCAGTGGATCCCCACCTGTTCGGTTCGGGGACCGTCTGGGCCAGGTTCCTACGCCAATAAAGTCAATCTGTTCCACCCTCTGCCTCAGCTTCCACCCCTGAAAGGAAAAGCCTGTCAGCCCACAAGTGTCACAAACCTTGGGATGCTATGCAAGTACAGAAGAAGGCGTACAAGCTCAGTGCTATTGCAGTGGGGGTTTAACCAGACTGTGTTCCTTGTTGTTATTATGGCCACTGCACGTCCTGATTTATCTCTGGTACCTGTAAAAAAAGGAGGGAAAACAAAATGTCACACAAGGAAGTAAACAGAGCCTGATTCTAAGTGTGTATGCTCCAAATTCCCCTAGTACCACCCCACCACCTTCCTGGAAATGGACTAATCAAGTCCACAGAACTTGATATAGTGTATGCCACAGATTGTGGTAGGCTATAAACACTCTTCCAAAGTATCCAGATGCTGTCCCAGAGTAAAGTAGCTGAGCTCTGCTTGCCTTTCTCTCACAGTAGTGATGCATTTGGACTGCTCTATTCTACCCAGCTAGATGTCCTTCATAAAATATGGTTGAATTTGGCTAGTGATAACCCAACCATGTGAGAAAAGCAAGAATCTCAAATTCCAGGTAAATAATCTCACCTTCTAACACCCTAACTTACATTACAATATTCACACTGCTGTCAGATGTGAGACTGCAGGCAGGTTTGCATGTGCTACCTAATGAGACTGGGCATACACACAGAACCAGGCATCTCCTCCTGGGGGCAAAGCCCTGGAGCAGGAGCCCAGCACTCTCACCCAAGGCTGCAGAGCAGCCACACCAAGAGAACACTGTTCTGATGAGGGCCGAGTCAGTGCTGGGCTGTCATTACTGTCAGAGCTTGCTCAGTGCCTAGGAACAGATAAAGCACAGCATGGGCAACACAGCTGTGCAGCGATATGCTGAGGAAGGAGAAACCCCTCTGCTTCAGTCAGTCAGAAAAGTTCTCTGTCCCCTGCTTTCCAAAAGCCAAAAAGACATCACAGGAACCAAGGCTGCTCTAGGAGCTCCCAAAACTAAATGATAGTCTGGCTTTAGGCTTCAGCCACAACATGAACCAAGAACTCTGAAGGGAAGGAAGAGAAATGAAGAATCAGGAAGGTAACTGATTTGGAGAACAGCAGGGACTACACCTCCCCCATGTGAAAAGTAATCCACAAGAACAGGAGCCATTT